AGGCACCGTAACTTACGTTATGGATCGAAAAACCAAGGTTATTAAGATAATTTTTTATTTCTGGGCTCAAATGAAAGAAAAAATTTTCAATTTAAATAAACTTTTCAATTTAGCAAGTCTCGCAGTGAATGAAGGCCCGCTAAATTGACCAATCGTGGCGCACGTACTAACTGAGAGATAGGATGGTACAACATGTACACATAATTTCATCTGGCATTCATTAGACATTAAGGAGCCCGCCACTTAAATTTGCGTGAGGGTGTCTTAAAAAATCTAGGATTGAAAGCTGTAACCTTTTGATGTTTATGGTTTCCATTAATACTCGAACAGTCTATTTTTTTATGTCTTCGGACGCAAGCGAAGAAAACCGGATTGAGCAAAATAATAATGGAGTGGTTTATTGGTGGAAGACCCACAAAGACACCGAATCTAAAAGGAAATTTTGTTGAGGCTATTTTTTTGTTTTTATCCCTACTAGAAGAGTTTTCATTGTAGGACAACAATCAAAGGAGAACGAGATTTGTTCTTTCATATTATTTTTCCTGATATGTCTACTGACTAACCTTCGACTTCATCTACCAGAGCCATTTTCTTGCCTCTCGTCCTCATTTAGTGAGCCCGGGTCAAATGTGCCCGAATAGGTCTAAAAAAGTTGCCAAAACAGGGCTCATGGTTCCCACGCGAGCGTGGACTTGTAAAGAAGCAAACACTTTTTCTATTTTTCAATTTTGTTTAGTTCGTAATCTCTTTATGAGAGTTCGAAATTACAATAGCTATTTCAGGAGGCACTCATCGCTCATTCCACGCTTGACACTTGCGGAGCCAAATGAAGTAGTAGCGCAGGGCCAATGCGGTTTGATCAGTGTAGTCGGTGACTTTCACATGATTGCAACAGGAAATGGGAAATGCCAAGGAAATACTACTTTAATAAGGTCAAGAAAAAGTCCGAGTCTTAGCAATAAACCTAACTTTGACTGAGTGTTCAGTGTCTCTCTGCTAATTGAATAGTAATTGAATTTGCGAAAAGATATGTCATATACGGAGAATTCAACACATATTCTCGTCCAATAGAGCTTTTAACCTTAGCGAACCAGTATGGGAGAAGAAGTCCAAATCTGCTCTTTTAAGCTTCTACTATGTGGATGTCGTCCTTTACTCCACATCCTTTACCTTCACTTTACTAGCTTCTCATTTCCGAAATCATTACTTAGGTGTCCTACAGACTCTTTTTCAATTGACCTGATATTGACATACACTCAAAGTTAGCATATCGTATACTGTTTCCCTTCAACTTAGCAGTCCAAGTGATGTATGCATGGGACACCGTTTACAAATCTAGAACACCTCAGTGATTTCATAGGTTAATTAATATTTAACTTTACGAAAAGTTTTGCTTCAATCGTTCAATGCAAATCAGAGCCATGTTCCGATAAAGAGTTTTCAGTTGACTCT